AGCAGTGTTTTTAAAGGCCAAGGCAACTTGACGGAGGAGTGTTCAAGCTATCGAGTCAGTAAATAAAGACACCGAACTATTAACTAAGGTGTCTTTTATTTTATGCGCTTTGTCAATACAGTTCTAACAAAGTGCTAAGTTGAAAAGCATAATCCCATCAGCACCAATCCATTTAAATTAAGTATTCATCCCCTTCCATCCATATTTGTGCCCATATATCATATCTACCAACTCCTTGGAAACTACATTTCTAAGGATAACAAATTAATACATTAGAAGGGTTGATATCTAACAGCTGCTTTTCATGCTGTGTTTCTTCAGGTCCCTGGAAGGATGACGGCTGCAGATGTAAAAAAAATGAAAATAAAGAAGTTCTTGTTTGGTACACCATACTCTGTGTGTTTAGTCATTTATTCAACCTTCCGGATCAAATACATTTCATAATAAAGACAACTTTTTTTTTTTGCCAAACTTTTTTTTTTCGCTCGCTCGCATCAATTTTGGGGTTCCCAGAAGATGTCATCCATATAATCAAATCAACATGGCCTTACACGAGTACCAAAATTTTCCAACAAAGTCGAGATGCTTGTCATTGTTGCCAATACTGGGTGTATCTTTTCGGGTTTGGAGTGCTGTGGAGTTTTCATGTTGGTGGTTTCATTGACTTGCTGCTGGAAAGAGTCGCAGTCCTTATAGGACGGGACATTAAGCTGTGGTCTACTGTTTATGCTCGCATTGGGAAAATATGTACTTAGACAAAAGTCAACAACCATGTAAACATCTGACAGATGATCATCTGTTTGAATATCTGTTTGAAATCCCGGCTCAAGTAACTTGATCTACATTCAAAGCTAGCTAAATGTCAAACCTAAAAGTGCTGAATGCAATACCTTAGAATGTCGTTAAAATGCCCAAATTTGAACTTAACCTTCTTTTTCAACACTACAAGCTACCTAGACAAAAAAAACTGTAAAAAACGTCTACAACATCAAATGTTATCCTGTCTAGTCACATTGTCACAAAATGACCACAGAGGCTAAAAATGCAGCTATTTTGCTGAAAACCACGCCAGATACTAACTGCCCAAGCATCTGTATGTACCCCACTGCAGTACAACTTATAGCCGATTACAAAATCAGCAACGCTAATATAATTATATGGACTATACCTCGTACACACATAACCTTTTGACGAAGGTAATCAGGAGTCCAAACTTGGAACACTTTTTCATACGGTCACAGGTGTAACATATATATAATTATATTTTAAGTGGTTACGTGGCGCTTGTGAGCGGCCGCGGTGCACTGCACCTCCGCTCTTTTTCCTGTTTAAACGTCTTTTATTTTACGTTTCTACATCACTCTGTGCAATATCTGTGTCCGAACGCCTTGTGATCATGCTCCAGTCGTCCTAAGTCGATGTAGACCCCCAGAGGCGATCATTTCTGCTTCAAACCCGTTGGATCCGCGACACTGAGGAGAGTGTACCTTGCCGGAGGTGTCATGGCTACCCAGGGCATCTTGGCGTACTCTGTGGGTTTTCTTCGGAGCCTGAAGTCATCAGCACTACATGTACCTGTAAATCCCTTCCTGAAGTCTCAACTCCGGTTTCTCGGGCTGTTGAAGGTTCGGGGCAGGCCAAGAGGATGCAGAGGTGGTAGGAACCTTCAGCGTTCAATTAGCACTGTTGTTGGTAATAGGCCGGGTAAACGCAATCACCTATTCTCATGCAAATTCAATCTGATTGATGTCGTCGCCAGAAACGCTAGGAATGTTCCGACAGGTGATCACTCTCAACTTATGAGTTCTAAGGATTCTCGCCTCCCTTCATTATTCAAAGTCCTTTATCTAAACGCAAGAAGTGTCAAGGCAGTGAATCCGCACAGAAATAAGTTGGTTCAGCTCCAGAACATGATTCACTTGAACTGCCCAGACATTCTGGCTATTACGGAGACTTGGCTTAACGATGATGTCCGCGATCAAGAGGTTATCCCACCCGGCTATGCAACTTACCGTAAAGACCGTCATCACACTCACGCAGGAAGAGCTGGTGGTGGCGTCCTTCTGGCCGTCTCTTCAAACGTACGCAGTCGGAGAAGGCCAGACCTCGAACCCAAGGACGAAATTCTCGTCTGCGAAGTTCAGCCTCCCGGCTTGGGTAAGTTGGCCACCGTGCTTTGCTACAGACCACCCTCCGGGGATTTGTCAACATTTACCGTGAACCTGTCTTCAGCTTTAGAGAAAGTTAAGGACGAATACCGAATGTATTGTGTACTCGGGGACTTAAATCTCCCCAAGGTTGACTGGAACAGTTGCGCTGTTACGGACAGGGGAAAAGAATCTGACTTTTGCGAAGTAATAAATGATCACTTTCTCTATCAGCACAACATGATTCCATCCAACCACTGCAACCACATCTTAGACTTAGTCTTCACCAACATACCTGAAAAGGTGTCGTCCATCAAGGAGCTTCCGACCGAATTTGACACGGATCATACGATCCTAGAATTCGGTATTCACTGCAGACTACAGCCTAAGCGTGGCCTTTCTCGGAAGGTCTTTAACTACCGGCGAGCCGACTGGGACGGCCTTAGGGCACATCTTGTCTCTAGGCAACTAACCGAGGCCGTCGAGCAGTATCAGGACATTGACTCTGCCTGGGAATTCTTCTTCTTCAGTCAACCAGTTCGTGCCTTGGCGGAGGGTGAAAGATTCAACTACGCCTCCATGGATTGACGGTGAAACACGTGACGTCCAAAATCGCAAGAGGACAGCGTGGCGTAGAGCCAACCGAACTAACTCTCCATCACACTGGGCTAAATACCGAGAACTTCGCAATAAACTGAAGAACCTTCTATCTCTTAAGCACTCAAACTACGTTAACAGCTTATCATCCACTCTGCATGAAGCGCCTAAGCGGTTTTGGTCCTTCGTACGTGCGAAGTCTAAATCCAGAACTCTGCCATCTACCGTATACCTCCAGAACTCTACTGCTAATGCTGCAGCCGATAAGGCTACATTGTTCAATAAGTATTTTTTCTCTACTTTTAGTCCAGCCGACCAGAATGTTAGCAAACCAACTATTGACATCAAAGTTGTTGACAGTCTCGGAGACCTCCAGTTTAATGTTGACTCAGTCCGAGATGCACTTGTTAATCTTGACACAAGTAAGGCCGTCGGCCCTGACAGTATTTCCCCATTTATGTTAAAGAATTGTGCCCAGGCACTTGCCCTCCCTTTGACCTTGCTGTTTAACAAATCTGTCACTTTAGGAGCGGTTCCATCTTGCTGGAAAGAGGCTAATGTATCCCCTGTTTTCAAAAAGGGTGATAAGCAAGACGTTTCAAATTACCGTCCGGTTTCTTAATTGTCTATCGTCAGCAAGGTCATGGAGCGGTGCATTTACGATATGGTGTTCCCAATTCTGCACGAGTCAATTCATGATCTCCAACATGGTTTTATTAAGGGGCGTTCTACAACCACCCAGCTGTTGGAGGTTTATCACAGTGTGGGTTCCATCCTCGACAGAGGTGGGCAAGTCGACATGCCCTTTTTGGACTTTGCAAAGGCATTCGACTCCGTTCCGCACTCTCGGTTACTTTACAAACTACAGATGTACGGGTTTAACGGCAAGCTTTTGTCATGGTTTAACTCGTACCTCACTAACCGAAAGCAACGGGTGGTAGTAGAAGGCTGCCATTCACAGTGGCTCCCCGTTACTTCTGGTGTGCCTCAGGGCTCCATTTTGGGCCCAATGCTATTCTTATTGTATATTAACGATTTACCTTGTACTGCAAAGCACTCCACTGTAGCGTTGTTTGCTGACGACTCAAAATGCTATAGAGAGATTCGTAACTGTGATAAACTACAGGCCGATATTTCTTCTATGTATGAGTGGAGTCTCGAGTGGGGGATGTCATTCCATCCATCTAAATGTAAGGTACTCCGCTTGACTCGCTCCAAGAGTCCAATCACTTTTACCTACCACATGTCTGACATTGCCCTATGTTCAGTCAGTAGCATGAACGACTTGGGTGTTTTTGCCCAGTCTGACTTGTTGTGGAACAAGCATATTGTAAACATTGTAGCTAAAGCAAACTCGATGATGGGTTTCATTATACGCACTGTCGGTTACGATTCCAGCCTGGATATACGTAAAGCATTGTATGTTACACTAGTCAGATCACTTCTCGAGTATTGTTGCCCCGTTTGGTCACCGCTGTCGCGTAACCTCATGGCCCTCTTGGAGGGAGTTCAGAGGCGGGCGACTAAGTTCATTCTTCGCAACAATGCAAATGTCAGTGAACTTAACTACAAGGACAGATTATTGTACCTAAACATGCTACCTCTGTCTTACAGGAGGGAGACTGCCGACATCATGGTTTTCGTTAAGTCCCTGTCAAGTATGTATGACCTGAACGTGTATGAATATGTATCATTTTCCACCAGACCAGCAAGGAGTAGCCGGTCTTGCATATTAATGCCAAGCCGTTGTAAAACATCTACATTTGCGATGTCATACATACCACGTCTGGTAACTGAATGGAATAAGCTTGACGTCGCAGTTCGCAACAAAGGGGCTTCGACGTCAAATCAGTCTGACTTATTGTCTTTTAAGCGTTGTCTTGTGAAATCTGCTGTTGAGAGATTCAAACATCACTTTGAACCTGACAACCTCTGTACATGGTCCACTGCGTGCAAGTGCGCGTCTTGTCAGGATTTGAGGGTTCGGTAGTCTGTCTATGTTAAGCTTGTTAAATCATGTCTTTTTTCTTTCATTATGTATATGTATATGTAATTCGCATATTGTTCACTCATTATTTTATACTTGAATCTATTGTATTTGTATGCTGTATCGGGACGAGGGCTGGTAAAGGTGTTACACCTGTTCCCCCGTCCCTACTCACTGTTGTGATGAATTTTAATAAATAAATAAATAAATAAATAAATAACATGTGTTAACAGTTAAGAGCATTAACATATAGACTAACACGCATGCGCAACAAGTAAGTCAGTCTAAGAAGATCGAGACCAAGAAACAGACCCTCCAAGTGAGTGAATAAACAAGTAGCTGGAAAGTACTTCATCTGTGGCTCGTCACTGTATGGCTGAGGACACACAAGAAGACAAGGTTCCCAGGCAAACAGAGACTTATTCCAACAGGAACTCATGGTGCTACACTGCTAGTAGCCAGAAAAATGGTTTTGATTAATGAAATTTCCATCAGGGGGATCCCCTGATGGAGACACAGAGCCCTTCAACATTGTAGCTGGAGTCCTTCAAGGGGACACACTTGCACCTTATTTGTTCGTCATGTGTCTGGACTATGTACTACGGACATCTGTCGACCAAATACAAGAAAATGGTTTCATCCTAGAGCACGCAAGATCTCGGCGATACCCTGCAAGGCATCTCACCGATGCAGATTTTGCTGATGACCTTGCACTTTTCAGCAACACAATCCAGCAAGCTGAAATTCTTTTACACTGCCTAGAAAAAGCAGCAAGGGGTATTGGTCTATATGTCAATGCTGGCAAAAACAGAGTTTGTGACATTCAACCAACACGGAAACATCGCTTCTCTCGATGGAAATAGCATTAAACAGGTTGAGAAATTCACGTACTTAGGTAGTGACATTTCATCAACTGAAAATGATGTGAGTGCTCGTATTGGAAAAGCCTGGGCGGCAACTGACAAGCTATCAGTGATCTGGAAATCCCCCCTGCCAAATAAGCTGAAACGTGAATTCTTCCAAGCGACTGCAGTTTCAGTATTGCTGTATGGGAGCAACACATGGACGCTCACAAGACGTCTGGAGAAAAAGTTAGACGGAACGTATACAAAGATGCTAAGGGTAGTTCTTAACACTTCATGGAAGGAACACCCCACAAAGGAGCAGTTATATGGGGACCTACGACCTCTATCTCAGGTCATCAGAGAAAGGAGACTCAGGTTTGCTGGACATGCATGGCGAAGTAAAGGGGAAATCATCAGTGATGTACTTCTATGGACACCAAAGCATGGACATGCAAGGGTAGGCAGACCCTGTAAAACATTTATACAACAACTCTGCGACGATACACACTGCGATGTAGCTGACCTCCCTCGAGCTATGGAGGACCGAGAGAAGTGGAGGGAGATGGTCATGGAAGTCCGAGACACCAACTCGACCAGATGATGATGATGAATGAAATTTGGACAAATTAAGTTCAAGACCATATTTGTCTTCGTCGGGAAGACTCGCCGCATTGTGGGTGACTGCGGATTTAGCGGAATAACTCTTGAAGGCATTATTCAACTTCCATGATTTTTGGCAGGCAGATTTCCATTGTTGAGGCCAATGCCAAGTGCAAGTTTGGGCTTCGTGGGGGGTCCGTACGTCACTGCAGTGGACTTTTTTGTGTTTGTGGCTTGTGAGCAAAATAACTTGAATATATTTGAACAGATGTTCATGATTTTTGGGAGGCAAACTACCATTGTAGAGGCCAAGGTCAAGTTCGAAAATGGGCCTCGTGGAAGGTCCTATGTTGCTGCAGTGGACCTTTTGTGTTAGATATATAATGAACTTTCCCCACCAACCTCTGCATTGATTCACATGGGGAACAGCTGTCCCCGCATCTGGTATCAATTGTTTACAATCGAGGGGCTGTCCTATAAATACTGTGGGGGGGAGGAAAAGTTGGACATGCGTCAGGCAGGTCATTCCTTAAATAGTAAGGCCAGACTAAATAATTTTTATGGATGACGTCCACTGGAGACCTTAAATTTATTGCAAAAGTGCGATAAAATACATGAAGGCCAAAAAAAACCTGATTAACATGCATACATTGTAGATTTGGAACATAAACTGTGGAAATACAAAGGTTAGGATGCAAATTGAATAAAAGAACATAGTGTAACAACAAACGAAAACAGCAATAAATCTCCCCGTTCTGATTCTTTCCTTTCATTACATCTGCTCATTACATTTTGCGACACTTGTAGAATTAAAAAAGGGAAAAAAAGGAGTACAGAGATTCTTTTGTACTCTAGACATAATTGATTTCTAGTATTAAAAACATTCCTTTATCTAGAACAATGTCCCTGTGACGAAGGCATGAGATCTCCGACCTCTAGGTTGATTAAGAAATGCATAGCCTTTCAAACTGCTTGTGAACCTTTTATGCTCTGTGATACAATACTTTACTAAATGTTGCAAGACAGTTTTGTGAATCATAATCCCATTTAATTTTGTGCTCTAAGTTGCTATGCTAACATTCATTCTTTTCTTGCACAGCTCAGCTCATGTTGTGGTAGGAAACCAAGCTATACAGTGAACTCAGGTCTATCCTGAATAGATAGAAAATCCATAATTGTATTGGCACAACCACTACATGTATAACCGAAGAGCTATAATACCCGTGGTCTCGAAAGATATTCCTATACATTGTAAGTAGTCTTCTATGGGCAGACGATCTAGTACTTCTATCGAAGTCAAAAACAGGTCTGATAGAATGTCTTAAAAGACTACATAATTTCTGCTCCTTATGGAAGCTACAGATCAACAGATAAAATCAAGGTGATGGTCTTTAATAAAAATGGACGAACAAACAAAAACCAGCCCTCTCCCTTCAAAATACAGGGACAGACCATAAATATTACAGACTCTTATACATACATGTATCTGGGTATAGATACTACTCCATCGGGATCTTTCAACCGTGCCACTAAACAAATTAGGTCCACCAGTCATTAGTGGTGTGGGTTTGGTCCCCTAGCAGCTTGTTCTGGAACTGCAAGGGACCTTCGGGTGAAATCTTTGAAAGCCAATAAGTCCAGATAGGAACAATGTATTTTTATCATTTATGGTAGGTAGGTAGCTGAGAGAGAGATGTACATAATTAAATGCAAACTATGCAAATGAGGACTTTATTTGCATAATTAATGAGGAAATTCTATAATTACAGTGTTTTACATTATAGTACTTTCATACATGTAACGTACATGTATGTAACCTATGGCAGATGGACACTAATTATGCAAATGATGACCTAATTTGCATAATTAATGCAAACATTCGTGATTTCTTAATGGTGAATGATGGGAATGTCATACTTGGGACATCTGTAAGTTAATCAAAAGTTAACATCACGATGCATATATTATGTTAATGCAGAGGTCATTTGCGTAATTAATGAAGAAATTTACATTCAACATCCGTGTCCATAATATCACCAGGGTCCATAACATCGCCACCTTGAGAAACAGTGTGCTTTAAGATATTTTTACTGCAACATACTTTTGGTATGCACTCCTGCACACCTCAAATGTATATACCTAGGGTGTGTTGCAGTAAAAATATCTTAAAGCACACTATTTCTCAAGGTGGCGATATTATGGACCCTGGTGATATTATGGACACAGATGTTACATATCAAACCCATATTTCATGGAGGTATGAGAATGTATGGAATGATCTTCCCCTCTACTTCAAGAATTTTACTTATACAATACAATGTATGCCTTACCTCTTGTGGAAGGGAGAAGATCAGAAATAGCTTGCCAGGCTGTCACCAGTTCTGGTTCACACTCCCCGTCCCAACCATACTCCCGCCAGATTCGCACAGCACCATCATCTGTGGAGAATAAATAGTCCTGTAGTTAACATAACTGGAGATGCATGCATAGAAACAAAAGTAAGCAGGAAAATGATTTCCAAAAAATTCTATAACTTAAATTAAAAATATTCTTACTTTGAACCTGCCAAATGACATTGAAAAGGTACATTGATTTTACAAAAATTGAGGTATTTTATACATGAGAACAAAGTTTAACATGCCATTACTTGAAGAAAAGGATCAATGAAAAATATATTACCTCAAAAGTTCATAGGCTTGGCTTGTACCTTTGTCATTACCACTCCATCTTTTGTTGTGGTGTGACATACTTTTATGTATGTTACATTGTATGGACATTAAACTAGTATGTTATAGTTCTTTCTTAATTCAAGCTTAAGGCCACACCAATTTAATTTGTTGGTTCTTGGATTTTTTCAGAAAAAATATGAAGCGACAGGGCGTAAAAAAAATGAAAATAAAAACAGGTCTAGGCATTCTATTATAGCCTCAAATGCTACGACAGCAGCCATGAACACAACACAAAAGGCTGGGCTATTATTTACACAAAGAATTTTGAACTCTTAATCAAACCACTGCATTCATTTGATAGATGGAAAAACTTGGAACAAAAGTCCTCAACTGTTGGGACAAAATATGAGCATTTTTAGTTGTTTCCGAACCAGAATTTTTTTTTTGTAAATCAGAAAAAAATGAAGAGGCGAATCCGTGAGCCAACAAATTAAATTGAAGTGGCCTAATGTTTATTTGATCAAGGTACATTGTTTATTTGCATACACATAACAACAGTATTCTACCGAGTGTCCGCATTTCTGTCATCTAATGGAATTTTGCCATTTGAGACAGACAAAAATTTTGCCTCAGCTGTCATCTTGACAAAAATTGGTGTGCTTGACAAAAAGTGGTGTGTAAAGGTATGAATGAAAAGAGATGTCATTTAAACTAAGGCCATTGACATGCATGAAATAGCATTTCAGGAGCATGCCATGGACCCTCCTAGCATTGTCACGCCTCCAGCGCGATTCCTCAATCCGTCAGAATGTGTGCTCAACATAATTCCATGTCAAACAAAATCGAGATGAAGGAACACTGAGTTAATTAATAACTACATCGTGCATTCTGGGATATCGGTATTCCATGCGATGAGGAAAAGCATAGTTACCTCCATGAAAAATGGAGGTATTGTTTTTGGCGCGTCTGTCTGTGTGTCTGTGTGTATGTTTGTGTTTCCGCACATTTGTAGTCAGCATAACTTTATAACGCCTTTATGGATTGTCATGATATTTGGTATGCTGGTAGGTCTTAGGAAGACGAAGGCCAAGGTCAAATATGGGCCTCCTGGTGGATGACCTTGGTGCTGCAGCAGAACTTCCGGTTTTTGTATCTTTTGTCTTGAACATGCTATGGTCTTGACTTTTTGGTATCAGATAGCTTGTTCTGTCAGGAATAAGTGGTGTGGGTTTGGTCCCCCTAGCAGCTTGTTCTGGAACTGCAGGGGACTTTCTGGCGAAATGTTTAACAGCCAATAAGTCTATAGATAGGAACAACATATTTTCATCATTTTTGGTGTGTAGGTAGCTGAGAGAGAGCTGTACATAATTAAATGCAAACTATGCAAATAAGGACTTAATTTGCATAATTAATGAGGAACTTCTATAATTACAGTGTTTTATATAACAGTACTTTTATACATTATACATTTTATACAATCTATTTAATCTGTGGCAGGCGGAAAATCAACAGATACCAATTATGCAAATGATGACCTAATTTGCATAATTAATGTAAAATTCTGTGAGGCCTTATTGGTGAATGATGGGAATTTTATACCTTGTGACATGTGTAAGTTTCTTTAAGGTTAACACCACTATGCATATATTATGTTAATGTACGGGGTCATTTGCATAACTAATGAGGACATGTTGAAATGAAGTATGACAAAGGAATTTTACACAAAAAATATTGTAATTTGAATTTAGAAAACCATAAATTAAACTAGATTATGCTAATTATGACCTTATTTCCATCGTCAATGAGACAAATAAAAACATTTACAAAGACTCATATATTTCATGGAGGTATGAAATCTCAGAATTCTTGTTTGTTCATGTACTGACCAGATCCTGACAGTAACAGCGTGATGTCATGAGAATTAATGAAGTCCAGAGCTGTGATCCTGCTGTTGACGACATTGTTATTTCTGAAGTAGTTTGTCCGGGCACCCTCATCCCAGTTCCAAATACTACAACAAATAAGGGATGAATACAAATTATCAATTAATTTTAAGACAGAAACACATCATCTGCTCAATCTGAATTAAAACAAAGACTAAAAGACAATTATCTTCTGATATTTATACTCAGAAACAAACTCCAAATGCAGCAAAAATGGCAAACAAGGAAATAAGTTAAGAACTTACAAAACAATTAAGCTTACGTATGAAAAAGAACAATATTTAGATGTACAAAATTTCAGTCATCGCCGAGCAATGACAAAATTAAGGATTAGTGATCACCAATTACAGATCGAAATCGGTAGGTACAACCAGACTCCCGCAAACAGCAGAATTTGCACTCTATGTAACTATAACAGTACTGTATAGAGGATGAAGCACACTTTGTTTTAGAATGTGCGGTATACAATGACATCCGGAAACCCTCCTTACAGTTAGAAAAGAAATTTGCATACTTGCCAAAAATAGAACTGTTCAAACATATTATGACATCCAAGCGCTATGATATAATTGAAAAACTATGTAAATTTGTTCATACATGTTTCAAAAAGAGAGAAGATATCCTGTAGTTAGATCCTGTAGATAGAGAAATAGCACACGAATGTAACAATTGCTTCTTCTATTCTTGTTACCAAGTTATTTAACTTGAGTGCATTTGGCCCGTGTAGGGCGTGAACATGCAATAAAGTTCATTGTCATTGTCATTGTCATTATAATAACAATTTCGTTTTTTTTGTGACTTGTTTCAAAATGTTTCAATAAGTCAATGACATTGTCATTCTTTGGCCATCATCCAAACTGTTACAATGTGCATTTTCAGCTTCATCATACATTTTTGTATACTTATTGTGAAAGCCAAATGACCCCAAGTTTGGTATGGGTGCTTTTGTAATTTAGAGATGTTCATGAGCAATACAGAATAACATCTGTAAAGCACAATATAAAATCAGTTATGTCCCCTTTTCGATTGTCCTTTTTTTTCCTTTGTTTTTTATGTACCGGTTCACATATTGTTACTAACAATGCGCAATGGCTGCCAATAATCCTACGTTGGGCTAGGGCTAGGCAGAAATGAGTAGATTGTGTTGTAGGAACATACAGACCTGATTCCATCTTTGTCTGCCACAGCCATATGAGGATCATATGGATGAAACTTCAGCACTGTGGGATTCCCTTTGTTTCGGTTGATGAAAATCTGATCATCTAATCGCATAGAAACTGCAAAAAAAGGTAATTGATGCAATTAACGAGTATGACAAGGAAAGTACATAGTTAAAAATTCTTTTGTGGAAAGGAAGAAACTTTAATTTGTGACTATACTGTTACAGCTACATGAACATGTACATTTAGTACATGTACCCTTAACCCTAACCCTGTCAGATATTACAATGTGTGACATAAATAATGAGTTTTTTTAAATTTAATTTAATGAACGCAAAAAATTACTGGTTGCAAAAACAATCAAAGTCAACTATAGATATGTCACTTTGTACACAACCCTTGTAAGGCTAGTATTAGAATATACAAAGGCTCTCGAGACTGTGCAAAAATGAGCCATGAGAATCTTCAATAAAAACAGAAACAGTCTGACATCTGCACCAGTAGTTCTGCCCACACTCCAGTCACAGTGAGAGGAAGCAGCGAGAACTGTTAACCCAGGTGCAGGCAAGCAACCACCAGGCACTACATGGTCACAAGTGACAGGAAAGAAGTAACTGAAAGGACACCATAATCATCTCACACTTCCAAAGTGTCGAACGGAGAGACTGAAACGATAACAAATCTCTGAAATGATTCCACCTGTAACTTTTAAATGTATGTATCTATAATTTTGATTTCTGTAATTTTAAAATTGTATGTCATAAATGATGTCATTGTAAGGCCACACCAGTTTAATTTGTTGGTTCTCGGATTTTTTCATTAAAAATATGAAGCGACAGGGGAAAAAAAAGCTCAGAAGTCTGATGGTGAAACCAGGGCTGGAAATAGGGCCCGAGGGCTCTCGTGATACATGTAACATTACATACATGTAACATGCATACAGAAATTAAGCAAAAAAAAAAGAAAATATATAACTGCTATGTATGTTACTCTTTTTGAAGCCTATGATCTTATTTCAAGCCATGTATTGATTTTATTATCAATTCATTTGGTAACAATTGATATACAAATGTAAGTTTTCTACTTCATTTTATTGATGTTAAAAAATAGTACTGAGAACATCATCATAAATCAAGGTCTTGGTCATCAGCAATCCTGGATCGTATAAACAAAATTCAGGGTTCTCCCCAGAAATCGAGAGTATCCCGGAGGAGGGTGCACAGCACCCGACACGATGCGCCTCTAGAGGGGGAAGCTCTACCATTTTTCTTTCTCCAGATACAAATGAAAGCCATTTCCTGCATGCAACTTCAGGTTTTATCCTTCTGTAAAATAAAGGTGGCAAAGAATCTCCAAGCCAAGGCTTATTCTTGCATGCAAACACATTTAATTACATAATTTAATGCTTCTGATGTCATCTTGCCAGCTTTGGTTATTTTCACTCACTGTTCTGGAGATAAGAAGATACAAGCAGGTAGGTTCTTAAGGTAAGAGTACACTGCACTTCAACTAAGTACAAAAAGTAAACAAGCCAACCATGCAGGATATGAACTACCAGAAAAAAAAAGGTTGACATTTAAAAAAAAATTTTGCATAGGTTCCACACTATGACCCCTAATCGTGGCCAACGGTGCCTTCAAGTTCAACAATTTAGTGAAACAGAATATGTCTTTAAGTCATTTATGTTCTACTTGGATCTTAAGGCAAGCAATTATGGAAAAATGGACAAAACCTTGTCACCCTTTTTTATCACCACTCACCTTCTAAACAAGTCCCTTATCAAAATGCCATCAAATGAACAAACACACCTCAATACAAAGTTCTACTTCTCTAAATAAGTTGTTCCATCTTTAGGACCACACATTCAAGAACAAACTGTTGAATTCTGAATGAAAAAATCTATTAATTAGCACACAATTTTGATTGGTTTCTATCCCTTTGTTTTGTATTTTCATAGGAAATACTGCTATCATGGACCAGACATTTTTCTGTCCCATTGCCAAATTTTGTGGCTGCCACATGCTTATGGCGAGGTACGGTACTCGTATTTTGTAATTGTATCAGCTGATTTTCTGAAACTTATTTTCTGAGCCAAATCGCTTGAGAAAACTGCACCTCCAGAATTTGTAGAACTTGATTTCAACAAGGAATTTTGAATTTTATTTGATTCTGAAAAATCTGGCGATTCTGAGAGCCAACAATTTAAATTGGTGTGGCCTAACTGAATGTTTCTCTTAAGGGTTTTAATCCTCTGAGAAATTATGTAGGTTAAGGTGGTGGAAGTCCCCCCTTATGTTGCTCATCCAATCCATCTCTTCCTTGGACACCCTCATGAATTTTGGCTTTCCACATCCAATGTGATGATCTTTCTAGGCCACTTCTCACTGTCCATTCTATGGAGGTGGCCATACTGTCTTAGTTGACTGGACCTTACTATGTCCTGAATGCTATGAACTGCCAGTCTGGTTCTCCACTATTTGGTTGACTATCTGAAGGTTTCCTAAAGAATATCCATTGGACCATGGCATTGTGACAGTCACTCCTTGTTAGCCTCTTCATGTCCTCTTCTATTTGTTGTATTTCACTACGGACATTTAGCATAGGAAACCCTGCCATACTTTATTGCTCGACAGTCATACATGGTACTACTACATTGGGTAAGATAACAATACTACAAAACTTAAGTTACAATAATTACTACAAAGTACAAACTACTATTGATAGGGTGAACTTTGTCTTGGTAGTAATAGTCTGTAACAGTGTGTCTCTTTCTGTTCTATAAGTGAGACGTGTGAAAACAAAGTGAAAATCATCTTCAATATTTTCATTACATGTGGGACACAGTCTCTGAGTGGCTGGTGTGTTGTGATGTCAACATTTTCAAGGCAATGTGCGCCTATTCTCAGGTTTGTTATGGTTGTTGCAAATGATTTATTCTAACTTGATGTAAGATAATCTTCCATGATTTCAGAATATGTAACTATGAAGATTACTAGTGTTTCTAAGTTGTTCCCACCAGCCAGAAAGAAACGTGTCTTTCAGATGCTCTTTAAGCATGATTCCAAAACGGTTGGCATTAACTGCAGGGTTAAGCCAAACATTTAGGAACCCATGTTAACGTGAGTATCCCATTGGTCTTCTCAAATTAACTGAAGTGTCGAACGCTTTCTTAGCAAGCCTATCATTTGGTAAATTACCTGTGTTTGACTATTACGACAGAAATATTCCACATTCACTCCTTAAGGTCACCCACTAGGACGCCCAGGTTTGACCTTGACCTTTGCCTCCCTAAGAATTACCAACATACCAAATATCATCACAATACATGAAGGCGTTCTGAAGTTAGGCTGAAGTATGCAGGAATACAGACAGACAGACACACACACACACACACACAGACAGGCCGAAAACAACCTGCATTTTCATGTAGGTAGTAACAGCTTGATGCACAAATGCATACAGTACTGTACCTGCTCGTTTCTGCATCTCTCTAGCTTCCCTTCGGACTCGAGCATTCCGGATAAACCTCCACTCACGGTCATAGTGAACAGGGCTTTGTGGGTCATGTTCTTCTGGAAACTGAAAACAACAAACCACATCTGGTCATTACACACATTCCTAGACTACAGAACAATCTCTATAGATTACATCTGTAGGAGTCTGCCACTGCTGTTATGAAAAGTGTCCAAGTGTGATGGTCAGTGATGAGACAAGACAGAGGGGGTACTGCTTACTACAGGTCTATTATGAATACCATGATCGTAAACACTACTTCTAGAGTGAACTCGATGTCTGGGGCGTCAGGTTCTACCATTCCTAGAGGAGGGAACTCAGAAGACCCCATTTCCCATTGGTTATCAGGCCGTAACCTCAAAAGTGATTGGTTATTAGAATAATCAACCACTTTTTGGACTGTGCCATTATAAAGGGGACAGGACACTAACAGTAGTGTTAAGACGTGTAGTACATTTGTACATGTAACGTTATTTATTTATCTATTAAAAACATATTGTAGTCTATTGAATTATTTATATGAAAATACAACACAATTAAGATATGAATGAAACTAGAAAGGCCGGCATTTGCTCAGGAGCAAATGCAGTAGATGGCTTCACCACATTCCCCATACCAAAAATAGATCTATCTCACCATCGCTGTCAATAGTCTATACCCCCATGCAGCAATGCAATCTTACAATGCCTTCTGTTGGAACATGTAGAAACAGTGTTGTATTTAGAACTGTCATCTGGGGATTTGGGTTTTCCAGCTACAATCACTGTTTTTACTGAAAGTAAAGTAAAAAAGAATTCGGAGATCTCATACCTCCATGAAATATAAGAGTTTTTGTAAATGTTTTTTTATTTGTCTAATTGACTTTGGAAATAAGGTCGTATTTTAAAGCTGCTCTATGTAGTTTTTGGCCGTCTAACCTTAAAACAAAAAGTCGATTTTCTGGCCATTTCTTTACATTGCTAGTTGAATAAACCCTACCGTGTTACACTGATCCATTCAGTTCATGGAGGCGAGACAATATTTTTGCGATACGAGCAGTTAGAAAACTGAGAAATCGCACTCGCGAGCTTGGGTGTCCGCCATGTTTGTTGACTTCCGAACATGTCCGAGTACTCCCGAGCCGGCCCGGAGATTTGTCACGTGGTCTAACTTGACCTTTCACCCGGGAGCGGGATATTCGATTCTAACAGCCGGTTTTCGCCTTTGGTTCCGGGTTTGTTGTGATCGCGTTATTCCTTCGATTACTGCTATACCAACAACACCTGGCGGAACTGGTCAGCAAACTTCTTCTACCTCCACGGTTCACCCGATCCCGACCGCGCTCCATTCCCGCCATTTTGTTTCAAGTGTTTTGAGTCATGACGTCATGCAGCCGGAACTTACCGAAGATTCCTGAAAGAAAACCGTTGTTAGCTGTACACCGACTCGCCAGACCAACACAGGCTCGACCCAACCCTCCCATGTTGGCGCGACTTGTCAACTTCCAACAGCGAGACCTGATCCTGCGTGCTGGGAGGAAACTGGGGAGAGAGAAGGACAGCGGCGTCGTCGTACACGAACATCTCCCGAGACCACTTCAGGAGGCCCGGGGAAAACTGGTTCCTGACCGCGATGCAGAGATATCCAGGGCCAAGGGTAACCGCAGTGACCAGAAGATCTCCATCTGGGTTCCACCCAAGGACACTTGTGCGGTTCTACTGGTAAACGGCAAGACTAGAAAGAAAGTGGATGCAGTGGACCTTGTATTTGACACTACCAAGACTTCAATGGTAGTCAAACAGGTTTGAACAGAAGCTCACTGAACTCTCTGAATTGTTATAAGAATTTGAAACTGAGACAAAATTAAGAACTTTTGATCAGTTATTTTTGTTACCCAGATTAAGAATTTGTTGGTTTTGAAATGTGCACTGTCCCTGGAAGTAATGTTACAGCTCAGGAATTATTGTGGCATGTATATTTGATTGATATGATGGATATTAAATGATTGAAACACAAATATTTTCTGTATTTATTGTTAAATTAAGATAAAGGTGGTACTGCCACTCTACAATGGTAGGCATATATTGACGAGAAGTTTATTTTTTCACTATTCTGTTTATCATTTGGTATGATTTTGATTCCTATTATGTTTCTGTTACTTTTTGTTTGAACAGGTAGTCACCCCTGAATTATGATTAAGGGGAAGCCCTTTCAGCACATGATTTTGTATTCTGTTACCTTTATAATTTGATTTGGTTGTTGTATAATTTATTGTGCTGCTTGTGCTGAAAAGGAAAATCAGCAACAAGTTCTTCAAGCTTGCTTTACTATTATGATATTTTGTTATATTATGTCTACAATGGTAGGCATATATTGATGAGAAGTTCATTTTTTCACTCTGTTTATCATTTGGTATGATTTTGAACTTTGATTCCTATTATGTTTCTGTTACTTTTTGTTTGAACAGATTTCACCCCTGAATTATGATTAAGGAAAAACCCTTTCAGCACATGATTTTGTATTCTGTTTACCTTTATAATTTGATTTTGGTTGTTGTATAATTTATTGTGCTGCTTGTGCTGAAAAGGGAAATGATCAACAAGTTCTTCAAGCTTGCTTTATTGTTATGATATTTTGTTATATTATGTTTCTGTTATATTTTCCTTCTGGCGGAATACTGTAAATGAATGACACAGTTCAGAGGAGCCACACAATGCCCCACATGAATGGCGCGGCCTTTATGTTTTTGTTTTGTTTCTGGGAACCATCCTGCTTTATTGTATTTCAGTTATGTTAACCTTTGTTCAGTTTTGTTTGCCACAGATATTATCATTCTTTTAGCCTTTCAGTTATATTGTTTATATATTTCAGTTTGGTTTACCTTTGTTCAGTTCTATTTTGTTACAGATATGATTTCACCGTGCACTCCAATCCCAGATGTTTCCCCTTCAACACATGCCATTCCCAACCCACCATGACCCAGGTAGAAGTTCAGATTTCCAGTTATAATTGTAACGGGCTTAGAGATTCTCTTAAACGTAGGGGGGTATTTACTTGGCTTCGAGATAAACCATATCAAATTATCTGTTTACAAGAAACACATTCTACCTCGCTTGATGAGAATAGCTGGCAGAGTGAGTGGGGGGGTTCCATTATCTTTTCTCATGGAACTTCTAGTCAAAGAGGTACAGCCATCCTTTTTAAAAACAATATTAATCCTAGTATACACCAAACTAAAATCGATTGTAATGGTCGATGGATTATTGTTGATTTAAGTATTGATGATTATAGATTTTGTATTGTCAACTTGTATGCGCCTAATGATGATTGTCCGGAATTTTTTTCTATTTTGTCAGATGAATTAGATAACTTCCCTGATTGCAATGAAAACCTTGTGATAACCGGTGACTTTAACACTGTACAAGATCCACAATTAGACAGATTTTCAACTAACATAACGTATCACCCCAAAGCCCATGACTCCATTTCTCAATTGAAAGGTAAATTTGACCTATATGATATTTGGAGATTTAGAAATCCCAGTTGTATTAGATATACTT